GCATACCTGGATGACAGTCCAGAAGGCTAGAGTGACAGATGTCAAGTTAAAGTGACATGGTGCATCGGGATGCAGAGCGCAACCACAACTTTACAATAAATAAATCAATAAAACTAATATGGGTAATAAAACTAATATGGGTATAATATATATAATGCAGAAAATGCATTATACATATTTACAGGAAATAATCTGTTAAAAATTCTTCCAAATCTCTAGTTTTTAAACAAACATCCTGCAGTTATTGAGTTAAATAATTTGAAATAACTATAGATTGTCACTTAGTTAATTCAATGATAAAAAAGGGGTCCTTTAAGGAAAGAGGTTGGGAGCCACTGCTCTACATCTAGCCTACATTCATCATGTGAGACACTTTAAGACTGTGACCTGACAGAAGTCAAAAATAATGTCAACAGACAAACAAATCAGATCTGAGCAATAAATCAGAACTGAGAGCTAAGGCCTACAATATGAACCTAAATCAGGACTATGTAAGTCAAATGATGTCGGCGACAACTTGCTATAATCAATGGTTATTATGACGAATCAGCTGTTTATATAACTGCTATCTCCACCAGATTGAACTCACACTACAGTAATAACTGTTCCTCACCTAGTTGACGCCATCCGAACCTGCCATCTCCGGTATCCATGATTTTACACAATGTTTCGACGAGAACCGGAGGAACATCGTAGAGAAAGGTGAAGGAGTCCATCTCACAGCACGACACTGGTCCACTACAACTTGATTGAAGTTCACTGTTGCTCATATACGGAAACTCCATCTGCGCCCCCGTTACATGACGACTAATGTGAGTCAGTACAAGGAAGTATAAACACATTGAAGAAACCCCCCAAACGTCACTGTCTTGCACATTTTGCACATGAAAAATAATAAAAGCGCAGTTTTTCTTTGCTCTCCTAATCAACGAAGAACGTTAAAATATCTGTGGTTTCAGGCAATCCACAAAGAGGATAAACATGGTAAACTGAGTGAGGGGCAGTCATTATGTGTCAGTGTGTGGCAAACACAGGTTAGTTAACGGTGTTACTGAGGAAGTGACGTGTGCCGATTCTAACTGTAGTTTGAAGGGAATCAGAAAATCTTAATGATGGTGTAAATAAAGTTTTCACTGTTACGAAATATGCCCTTCGATAAAACAGCTGCTTTTAGAATGGAGTTTGGTTTGACCGTGTGAAGCAGAGGGTATTTTAACCTTAATAATCCACATAAACTGAGCTGACCTACCTACTGCAATAAACCTTGTAAACAGCATAAAGTTACGGAAGAAGTTAAGCTAAAATCGACCTGTTTTATACTCCTTTCGGCTAGTTTACATTAATGTAAACTAGGACGGAAATCTAAGTGACATATTCAGAAATACATAATTTATTTATTATAGGTAGTGTTATATTTGTCTGACTTGTGGTTCTGGTTGGGTTTATTGTGCGTTTTCAGTTTGTTTGCTGTTGATTGTGTTGGATGTTATGTTAGTGTGTTGTGTTCGTTTGTGTGATTGTGGTTATTTGTGAGTTTGGATTTTTGGTATGTCACTTTGATCCACTTTGACACTCATCAACCCCTATTTCTGCATTTTTGTCCTATATAACGATATAATATAATTGGCCATAGGATTCTGGCTCCTAATAGATACAAAAGCAATACGGTATTCTTATTTCATGCTATTAAATTGGCAAAGACGACGGAATTTACATTTCCCGCCAGTCAAACCAGAGGGGCTGCTTTCACCCAAAAGGAGGCGGGGCTTTGACCAAGGCCAAAGTACCAGGATGCTGCTCCCAGCGACCGGTGGCGATGTCTTCTTCTGGTTTAATGGCTGACCGCGAAGCAACGTAATTCGATTTGTTTATTCTGGTAGCCCCCAACCACGTGTTGTTGTTTTTTTAATTATTATTTTTGTATATATCTTTTCTTAACTTACTGACAGAAGGGACGACCCCCAATACTGCTGCCAACGTTCAGCCTTTGGAATGCTTTTACAAGATTCGGACATGTTATTTTGCGTAATGGTACTGGGTACTTCATGTGTGTATGAAGTATGTGTGGTATGTGTTACATTTGACACCAGACTGGGGTAGCCAGGCATGTTTTAGGGTTGGCAGCCACCGTTTTATTTTAATTTTCCCACACACCTCTAAAATAGCAGTGGGCACATGGAGACAGTATTGAGACTCATCCCTTAAACTCTAAAGGGCAGTTAGGACTATTCCACAACAACAGCTCTTCCTACTTCCTACTCTGTTGTGAAATGTATTAGGATCTAGAGCAGTGGTTCGCAACATTTTTTCCTTGAAGCCCCCCTTGCCTGTGTCCAAGACAAGTCAGGCCCCCCCAACCCCAACCCGCATACACACACTAAACAGGTAATAAATAGCTTAATGAATTTAAATGTGGACAAAAATATGTTTTCAATTTGGATATACAGAGTTTGAATTACCAATTGTGTGTTATTGGGATTTTATAAATGTAATTTCTGTAAATAGTAATTTTGGTAACCTCACAACCTCAAAGTTGTGTGCACCCCCCAGTGGGGGGCGCGGACCCCAGGTTGGGAACCACTGATCTAGAGCTCAGTGAACTTAACAGGGAGGACCTCTGATGACAGCACACAAACACATTATCACAGTCATTAACACTTTTATTATCCAACAGAGATCAACTAGTTTATACAGTTCAGGAACAGCAAATGCTCAGGTTATTCTGCATTCTAATTGTCAACTGGGAAACCATAAACTTAATCCTCTCTTAATATTTTAAAATAATTTGTGCACAAGATAATAAAAAACAATGTATTCACATTAGAACAAAATATTTTAGCCTTTATAGATTGAGCATACACACAAAAGAATGCAGTTTACATTTCCAATCACCAGTGTAAATGTTTATCTTAAAGTTAATGATGACTTCCCATAAAGTTTTGTGCTACTTTGTTTTTGTGTTTTCTGCTAACTACAAACTAATTTAAGGTTTTGCACATGGACATCATTGTTCAGAATTAGAAGGAGCAAGCCAACATTTGTATTTTAATTTTTTTGTAAGCATTTCCTAATTTTACTTAACCGATACCTGTATGCAAGCAGGTTCAGGGACAAATCCAGTAAAACACACGTGCCATGGGTCACACAATAAAAAGGCAACAGCGGGAGCAAAAAGGTATTGTCTCAGCTGGCTTACCAATGAAACCTTCCTAATGAACCCATGTAATCCAGGGCTTGTTGCTGCGAGTCTTTCTGCCCTTTTATGGTCAACAATCACTTACTGAAGCTTTACTATTTGCGATACAAAAACACACAATCTAAGTGCAGTCTTTTCTCTCATTTGCTGATGCTCAAACCTCCACAAGGAAACCCAGAATCATAGGCAAATCATTCCAATCTTCTTATATTCTTGAGACGAAGCTGGCCTGTGGTTATCAAACAAAGGGGAACAACTGCTTAGTCACTCAGACAGTTACTGCACAAATGGCGTGTTTACTGAATTGAAAAGTGAAACTGAGAATTAATATGGGACATACCTGAGGCAAGGCGGTGCATAGAACTTACATATCTGGTTCTGTGGAGAGAGATAAAAACATGTTGAGAACTTACTTTCAGTTCACGTCTGGACAGTGTACATGCTGTAATTGTGGAGCAGTCCATATAAAGCCTTTCCATTTGTAAACTAAATACTGTCAATGATGTACTTGTGACATCTTATCAGGACAATGCTAATAACCTGTGCTGTAAAGTTTTTAGGATTATTATTAATAGTAGCTCACATGTGCTTTTGTGTTGGTATTGTAATAATAAATCTAATTAAAAAGTAGTCATAATCATGTCTTTTTTCTTCTTATTCTAAATTACAATTTCACTTTTTTACAGCTCGATTTTACAATACAGTACTTTATGATGGTGATGATGAATCAGAAAGACATGTAGACAGAGACAAACAGAGAGACAGACACATACCCCATATGTAATTGTTGGTATTTCCCATGTGAGACACTTTGCAGGAAAAAGTCTGCTCCTTGTTTGGGGTGAAGGGCACGTGTTTGGTCAGGTGGTAATGCCAGTCCTCCCCAAAGGCCAGGTCACTCTGCCGGGCATCTTTTATCTCCTCGCCATTAACGAGCAGCTTAATGGTGATTTGTGGCGGGTGGAAGCCACTGACATGGCAAATTAAGGTGTTGGGTTTCCCCACCTGTCCTGGCTCACGGCTGTACACCTGAACCTTAGGTGGAGCTACCAAGAAACAGAACAACTGTTACTTTTCTTTGTTTTCAAATGATTTGATGGAAATATGATAGAGCTGGCAAAAACTACATTTCACTCCCTTGGGCATACACACTGCATACAATTCTAATTTCTGCCCGTGCTATGAAATCTGCATGTAGGGTAACAGGTAAAGGTAGGTACTATGTAACTTTTATGAAAATAATTTTTGGGCATATTTGCTGAAACTTTATCTATATCCCGACAGTAGTACTTGAGACAGATCATTTCTGGGAAAAAAAAACAAGTTCCTCTGGTTCCTCCTAGTGCTCCTGATGGCATTTGGAATAATCCTAATACCTAATCGAAAACAACCAATCAGAGCTGAGAAAGATGGTTGTTTGTTGAGTCTCATTCCCATACTGACGCTGAGAATGAGACTCAACAATTAATTATCTTTAAGCCCACCGACCCAAACTGGCTTTGTATCTTCCTCGGCTCGGTTGCTTTCGTTTAGGCCCGGTCTGTCTCATGGATATGATTAAAGTTTCAGCTAAAGTTATTTTCAAAAAAGTTACCAAGTGCAGTGTTAAGCTACAATGCTGTGTTGTGGCAGTATCAACCATAATTGAATTTTTAATCATAATATGTTGATGAAGTGTATGAAACCACGCTTTAGAGACGTCACAGCGCCGTGAACTTCTTCTAAACACCGCCTTTGTCAAACGTTTACTTTACCTTCAGAGGAACTACTTCCCGGGCTAATTCTGAATATTTTTTGCATAAGTAAGCGGTAAACTGAACGGTAAATCTATAATGAGATCTTACGCACGTCGACCTCCCTGTCATTTCAAGGCCTCCCATGTAATAACACAGCGCCATTTGTAATCATATTTTACATCAGAAGTACAGTAACTACTTACATTCTTTGGCCATTGAAGAGGCTGCGAGGCAGAGCAGAGTGACGAGAACTGCGCAGACAACTTCCTTCATGATTTCACCTTCAGTCGGTCTGTGTACACTGGAAACTAACTTATGTCCAAACTATACAGACGATAAAGCTGCCTCGCGATCTAAAACGTAGTAGAAATCTCTTGTGTTCCGGAGTGCTGGTGTATAGGCAACCAGGAAGCGCCTCTAACCCCGCCCTCACAATGAGTATCGGCGTACACAAGCCCTAAATTCCACCAATAAAATCAAGACGAGCTGTTGCTACGTAGATTTCATTCCGACATGTTACTCTCTGTTGCGCACTTTCAGCCCTCCATGTTAATTTGAGCTGCCTGCTGTCTAGCTCATCATTTTTGCGTTTTATTTTAAGTGTTATTGTACGAACATAATCTGATAAATTGTCATTTAAAAAACAGTTCCTTGAGATACTATTTGACATTGTTCTAGTAGGCCAGGTTGTAACAATGTTGTTGGTTGAAATGTAAATGGTGTTTCCACTGTATACTGTTAATTTAGGTTAAATCCATTTAAAATTAGTTATATCAGTGGTTCCCAACTTTTTTCCTTAAAGGAACCCTTTTTCTATCATTGAGTAAACTGACATTTGATATTTTATGGATATTTAATATTATATTTAATGCATAACGATCATACAGGGACATAACAAACAGTAGAGAACAACTGATTAACTGTACAATGTACTCAAATAGTGAACACAATAACTGCAGTTTGTATAAAATGAATGGAATTTGGATGAATTTTGAGCAGATTACCTCCTGAGAATGGCAGATGACACTTTTTATACAATCTGTATTATGTATTTTTAATTTTTAACAGGTCTTCAAAGTTTAGATCTTAAATAATAATCTAAACTTTAAAAATAACAACTGAATTTAGTTTTCTTCAAAGAAATGAAAAAATGCAAAGATATAGGGACATAAGGGGGTAGATAAGATATATATAGATATATTAAAGTTTTCTTACACCCTTAAAAATCAGGAAGGCCTCGCGACCTAAATCTTAATGGGGGATTAAGCTTTAGCAACACTTAGTTAGGGTTATAACCACTGAGTTATATGACTGAGAATACTCACACAATAAGTCAAATATATCTTATATATGTTGTTATTGCTAGTCCACGTTTTATATATGTATATCTGAGAAATAGAGAACAAGTGTAGCCTAGACATACAGTATCATGTGACCAGGCAGACACAACAGATCCAACACACATAGCAACATTTCCATTTATTTAGACCACCAGATGAATATACACCTGCTCTTTACCTGCTAGGTTCTCCACTTTTTCCCTATAGTCGTCAAAGTCATAGCAGAAAGTAGCAGGATGGGCAATTAAGGTAATTATCTTGATATTGATCAGTATCACTATAATAAAAGTAGCCTATACATTGTAAAGCTTTGTGCTTAAAAATGAGAACAACAAGGAAATTTAAAGAGGCATTTATTTATATCAGGTTATTAACAAAACCTTAAATAACACAATTGTACAAAACTTTCATCTAATCCAGATGTCTAATCTGACCAATTAACATTTTAGCGCCTCATTTAGAGTTTGTCATTAAGACTAGGGATGCACAGTAATTCTCAGCCAATAATAATAATTATATTAGTATGAATTAGCAAGATAATTAAACCCTATGAATTATTAGTCCAGCAAAATAATTTATTGTTAATTGCTGTTTGTTTTTGTTGTTTTAACAATAGTGATGTAATTTATATTTGTTTAGAACAGAGCTATGGAGTATTAAATCATCTGTCTTTGCACACTACATCCTAGCCTTTCTTGTCACATATGTAAAAGTTTGAAATTATCATTATCTTATTAGTATCGGCCATGAGAAGCAGGTAATTATCAGTTATTGTATCATCTAAAAAGAAATCTGTATCGTGCATCCATAATTAACTAAAAAGGTACAGTAACACATATTACATGCTGAAAAAACAGAAGCAGAGTATCACAAGTTTAATATGAACACACAATTTTCAGTTTAAAAGGCTGGAAAACATGTTGTAAGTAATCTATACTAACAATGTAAGCAAATGACCTGCACCCCCACATTCTCTTATATTACATATTTAAGATAAGTCCCCTTAAAATGATGCCGATATTTGGTTTTGTGAAAAGAATAGTGAGATTGCCGGGAGAAACTGTGATCGTGTTGATTGAAGATGTGAAGAACACGCTGCTGATGAGGTCAGCTGCAGTTACATGTTTGGGTCTGTGAGAAAAAAAAAAGCATACAGAAATTTTTATTAGCAGTCTCATAAAAGCTGCTGAAGCAACATTTACTTTAACTGAATATTATGAAGCTCCATATGCATTAGCATACGTTATATTACATTTAGTCTCTTTTTGGATATTTAGTCAAGTGCAAATGACTTGATACATGATGTCTGTAATTGTATACCATTTTGCTGCAGACCTGCATCAAGATCCATGCATGTTTTTTAAAATCCTCTGTTAATAAAATTCAACTGTCATTATGTTAGATCATTTCTTTCTTCCTAATGTCTCTCTGATGGCTCTATCACATGCAGTTTTATTTTCTTGTCTCCTCATCAGTTATGAGAATGTTACAAACATTTTGGCTAACTCACCCCAGGCATAGGTTTTCATGTCAGTCCCATGAGTGACCTTGCAGCTGTACTCTTGTCCCTTCATGGGTGTGAAGGCCACGTTCTTGGTCAGATGGAAGTGCCAATTCTGTTTAAAGGCCAGGTCAGTCTGCTTGGCATTTTGGATTTCTTGTCCATCCTTCAGCAACTGGATGTTGATGTTTGGGGGGTGGAAGCCACTCACATGGCAAATCAGGGTGTTTTCCTTCCCGAACTCTCCAGGGTTACGGCTGTACACCTGAACCTTAGGTGGAGCTAGAAGCACACAAAGCGACGTGATGGACAATTCTCTCAACCACTACCATCAAAACACCAAATGAGAGATGATGTTGAGAATGCTGTTCATCCCTCCGGCTATGACAAGGAAGCTGTTATGGAGGCTGGCTGTGGAACAACTTTTTACACACTTGTTTGTGACCTAATCCCAACAAAGGTGAGGGTCCTCTTGATTAATTAATTGCCTGAACAATGGAGCAATGGAAGGAGTGCTCCACAGTTTTTATCATTCCTTTTTCAATGAGAACTAATTTATTTCACTGAGCATTTAGAAATTCCCCCTTTGGAGTTTGAGCTCATCAGTCCTACCCTAAAGCCAGTGGAGGGTGACAGCAGAGTTACTATTACAGAAAATCGAAACTAAAACAAGACTGTTGAGGGGAATTCCACCGAAGTAAAAACACGACATACATATTATATAATGTTTCTCTTTTACATTTCACTATAACATCAACTCATACATTTGCCTTTCAAACAGATCATGAGCAGCTTATTATATATTTACTTGAGATACAGTTTATCGTAATTCTTCAATAAAAAGGCATGGCTTTAAATAGTACTTACTTATTTTGGGGTTGTCAGAGCAGGAGACAACTGCCAGAGCTGCCAGACACAAAACAAACTTCATTTTTGATCAATTCTTCTTTTGTCGTTTCAGAAGCTGAAATGAAAAACAGGAGCGACTATCCTCTTCCTTCAAACACCTAAAGTAAAGTGAAAGTCTAGAGCAGAGCAGAGCCCAATAATAGAGTGTTTTGAGACCGCCTCTACATGACTCCAGCCAATCATTAATTCCCATCACACTGTTACTAGGTAAAATGTGAGTGTACAGGTTTGGTTCATTATGGCAGGGAAGGTTTGTGGAAACTCCCTGAAGACCCAGGTGGTGAATCACCTTCATTAGACTGCACAAAGCTGCATTTTTTAGCGTCCTTGTAATAATGCTTAGTTAATATTAAGTTGACATGACACCCAGACCTCCATGACAGGAAGGATGTATTTCACACACAGTTTAGTTTTTACTGGAGACCATTCCCAGTCCATCTGCTTTTTTGTTTTGTCTCTGCTCTTTGTAGACTTATTTATTTGCCTTTTTTGCTTTTTTTTCATCTTTCCATCCTCCATTTTCCTTAATTCCCTCACGTCTTCCAATCTTTCTTGCTTCGTCCCCACCCCTCCTTTCTGTGTTGTGTAACATTAACTATACTTTGTTGTGTTCATTTTGGTCAATAACTCCTACGCCCCTAATGGTCATGTGTTTAAATATGTTGCAAAGTTAAGTTGTGGTGTTCTTGACACCAGTTTTGTGATAAATATGCATATATCTTTTTCAAAAAATCTTTATATATTTTTCTGTATACTTTATGTGTATTATTAGTTTTGTTTGTATTTGTTTTATCTCTTTGAGTATGTGTAACTGTATTCACTTTCATTTTTGTTTGTGTATGTTCTACAAATCAAAAGTGAAATAATGATTATATTGTCACAACAATGCAGAACAACCTTTGACAACCAGATTTTCTGGTCTCTTAAATGCAGCATGAGTTACCTCCACTTGAGCCCAGTTCAGCATTCTATCCTAACTCTACTCACTGAACCCCCACGGACTTTACATGACTGAGTGAGGTAAGTGTTTGTGACCTGACACAACTGGTCGAGGCAGAAGACCACAAACCTAGAACCTTTGTTCTAGGTTTCTGCCTCTTAAAAGGAACGTTTTTTCTCGCCACTGTCGCCAAGTGCTTGCTCATGGTGGGAACTGTTGGGTCTCTGTAAAGAAAAGTACAGTCTAGACCTGCTCTATTTGAAAAGAGAACTTTT